CAAAAGGGGGATCTTGGGAAGGTCGCGCCTCCTCGCACCTCCCTCCGCGGGAGGGGGGCCGGCCCCCGGGAGCCAGCCTGCCCCGAGAGGCGAGGCAAGGGGCGCGACCGCACGGCGCCACCCTTTCACACGATACCCGGTCAGATTGCGTAACTAGCCACCGGCGAGGGAGGGGGGGGAGCACATTTTTAGCCGGGGCACATCCTCCCCGAGCCAGGTGCACTGGCGTTGGTCATCGATTGCCACCTACGTAGCCCCCCCCCTTTCTTGCTCGTTTGCTTGCTCGCCCCCCTCTTCTCCGCTTCGCTCTCGGGCTCCCCTTTTCCCCTTCTGCAAGCGCGCGCCCGCGCACACACACACACACCCACACGCACATCCTTGCCCACATACGCGCCCTCGCACGCCAGCACACGTCCACTCCTGCCTGCGCTTCTGCCGCGTGCTGCCGTTTCTCGCGCGCGCGCGCACCCTCCCCCTCCCGTCCCCCCGGCCGGCATCTGCCCGTTTGCCCGCTTGCCCGGCGAACACGATGGTGCTGCGGAAGTTCCCCTATCGGGTCCCGGTTGTGCGTCCCCCCCCCCCCCCCCCCCCATGCTCCGGCCCCATGTGCCTGTGTGTGTGCGCGCCCGGCCCTCTTGGCCTCCTGCTGACAGCTCGCCTGCCCCGGCCCCTTCCGTTGTCGCCCTCGCCGCCGCTCCAACCCGACACGGGCAGGTGGATCCCAAAATCTCCGACCTCGTTGAGTGGCTCACCCAGCAGGAACGCCCGCTGGACCATCTCATCAACCTCGTCCCGGCCCATGTCGACCTGATCGACTACTCCTGGCCGCTCCCACGGGTGCGTCGGTGCTCGCGCGCGCAAGTGTATCACCCCTCTCCTTGGACCCCCCCCCCCCTCCCCCGCTCCCGCGCTCCTTGTCCCTCTGCTCCCTGTCGTGCCCTCCATCCGGCCCTCCATCCATCCGGCCGGCCGGCCCGCATTCGCCATGACTGACATCGCCCTCCCCTCAGTCGGATCTCCTTCTCTGGGTGCCGGTCCTCAAGCTGGTGGATGCCTTCATCGAGCGCATCCTCCAGGGGCTGGCCGTGGGCTCGGTGCTGGAGGTCACCTTCCCCGCCGAGCGCCGGACCCTGGTGTCGGTCCTGCGGTTCCTGGCCATCCTCCTGCGAAACACCTTCAACCGGTCGATCTACACCTGCGTGGACTATGTGAATGGTTTGCTGGTGGTGGACGACCTGGAGGTCCTGGAGGCGGCCCTGACCCTCGGCAGTGTGGTCCTTCGGCGGGCCACGCGCGCGGCGCGCGGCCGCATCGAAGCCTCCCGGCTGCTGACCCTGGCCCGGGGCTGGGGTCCCACCCACCGGGGGATGCCGCTGCCGTTGCAGTGTGACCTGGTGGCCTCGGGCGGCCCGGCGCCGGCCTCCATGAGCCAGGTGAACTTCGAGTACTCGGCCATCGATGACCCGGTGGGGCTGCCGGTGACCATCCGCCTGGCCGGGCTGCCGGACACCGGCAACGGGCCATCCTCCTCCATGGCGCCGGCCATGCGCGATCTCGAGGTGCACTATCGCCAGCAATTCCAGCGCGCCTTGCGCAAGTACAATGTCCCGCTGGCCGAGAAGTTTCCCCTCTTCCACCACATGCGCCTGAATACGTTGGTCTGCGCGCCGGAGGCCCGCGAGACCCTGGTTCGCATCCGGCTGCTGGCCATCATGCTGATCCAGTTCATGGCCGTCGACGAGGCGTCCTTCCGGATGTTGGTCTTCCATGAGCCGGAGTTCATGAGCGACCTGGCCAGCCTGATCTCCGGTGACCGTGTTGTTCCGTGGGTGCGTGTCGTGCTCTCTCTTCTTCTCTCTGTTTCTGCATCCCTCTCTCTCTGTTTATGCACTTCTCTCTCTGTTTATGCACTTCTCTCTCTGTTTATGCATCTCTCTCTCTTTCTCTTTCTTTCTCTTTCTTTCTCTTTCTTTCTCTTTCTTTCTCTTTCTTTCTCTTTCTTTCTCTCTCTTTCTCCCCCTCCCTCCACCTCCCTCCAGAGCTATCCCGGCTTCTGACCCCTCGACCACGTACACCCCCGTAGTCCCTGCAAACACTGGTCCTGCGCATCTTCGAAATCGTGGCCACGGCCAATGACTCACGCACGCATGGGCTCGTGTCGGCCCTGCGCCTGACCGCCGATTATGGCATCCTCGTGGCCATCCTGCGCAAAACCCTGGCCTCCATTCGCTCTGCCGAGGCCCCGGCCGATATCCCGCCCTCCTTCTTGACTTCCCTCTTTTCGCTGATCGCCGTGCTGGTCATGTCCCTGCCCCGGAGCCAGCGTTTCGCCGCCACCAGCATCTTCATCTCCATGCAGCCCTTCCTGGATGGGGTGTTCCCCCGGTACACTCGGGCCACATCCCTCTGCCTGCATGTGGTGGACACGATGCTCTTCACACAAACCAGCTCCGTGGCCCCGAGCGCCGAGAGCGAAATCCACGCCTTCTTCAATGAGCACCGGGGCGTGCTGCTGGTGGCCCAGCGCCTGGCCACCGAGCTGGAGTCCATGCATGGCAGTCTGCTGGCGCTTCGGGCCCCGGCTGCCGGGGCCGATGCCATGGATGTGGACAGTGGTCCGGGCGATGGCACCGAAACTTCGGCCAGCTTGGCCGCCGGGCCCATGCCCTTCCTGGCGGAGATGGCCATCCCCATGGACCAAATGCGGCTGATCCGCGTGCTCTTCCGGTTTTTCATCCACGCCTTCCGGTCCAACCGCGCGGCGGAAACCCTGCGCTCCCTGACCGACAGCCCGCTGATGGATGCCTTCCGCTTGGTGTTCGCCAACAGCCACCTCTTCCCGTCCATCTACTCGACGGCCCTCTCGCTGCTGGGGCTGATGATCCACACGGAGCCCACGTCGTTGGTGGTCTTCCAGGAGCTCGGCATCACGGACTTAGTGCTGGAGACCCTGGCCCCGGCCGGGCTGGAGCCCGGGTCGGTCCGGTGGTCGCCCTTCTCCTTCCCGGCCGGGTATGCCCCGCTGGATCGCCTGTGCGGCGTGGCCGCCGGCACGGATGCCGGCCTGCCCGCGGCCGGGGGCTTCTTCGCGCGGCCCATCCGCCCGTACCCGGACGAGGAGGCCCTCCTGTCGTTGCCGCTCTTGCTGTCGGCCCTGTGCCTGAATGACGCCGGTGTCCAGGCGGTCCGCGAGTCCCGGGCCCTGGAGCACCTGGCTTGTGTCCTGACCAGCCCGAACTTCGTCAACATCCTGTCCCTCTCGCCGATGATCTACATCCCGGAGCGGGCATCCTGCTACCTGCCCACCGACTTCGGGGCCACCTTCAATGAGCTGGCGCGCCATCATCCGTCCCTCAAGCCGGCGGCCATGGCGGCCGTGCGCCTGGTCCTGCGGAACCTCCACGAGCTGGCGGACAGTGCGTCCCCCCCCCCCCCCCCCCCCCCCCCCCCCC